CCGTTCTTCTTCAATATTTTCTTGTCTCCTCCCCTCCCCTTCTTCGCCGCTTCCTTCGCCCATCCCCCTCCCATATTTCCTCTAACTCCCCCCGGCGACTCCCTATTCCGTTGTTCTACGCATTGCCCAGGATCCCACCTTACCCAGGTGTCCCTATGGTCCCAGCTCACTTGAGTCTCTTACGTCTTGCCTTGTGCCCTTTTCTACTCTCACCCTACGATTTATTTCCGCGCCTATGACGCCAGCATTAGGCCTCCTAGTCCCAATGCTTTTTTTGTTCCCTACCGACTCGCTTCCCGTCATCTTCCGGTACGCTCTCTTCTGTGCCACTCTTGCCCTTGTTCCTGCCTCGCTCCTTGCCGGTTGCCTTTGCGTCTTTCCCTCGGTCCTTCTTCTCCCCCCGGTTGCGTCCCCCCCCCCCGGCCCCCCCCCCTCCGCCCCGCCCGCGCCTTGTGGGCCGTTGTCCCTCCCGGTGCCTCCTGGTTCCGCCGCCCGGGCCCCTGCTGCTCCGCCCCGGCCTCTGCCCCCTTTGGCCCTCCTTCCCGCCTTGCCGCCGCCGCGGTTCCCCCTTGGTCTCTTCTCCCCCCTCCTCCCCCTCCCCCTTGCGCTCCGCCCGTGCGGCGTTCCCTCGGTCCTTCTCCGTTTCCCCCTGCCCGCTCCTCTCGTCCCGCTTGCTTCTCCTTGTCCCTCCCCTCCTTGTCTCGGTCTGGTTGCCCCCCCTCCGGGCCCTCCGGGCGCCCCCCTCCCCTTCGGGCCTCCCCTCTTCCCTCTCTCCTCCTCTTGTTTGCGGCGCTTCCGCCCTTCGGCTTTGTGGTTCCGTTCTCTTCCGCCTTTCCTCTTCGCCTTCGCTTCCTGGTGTCGTTCTCCTTCTCTCTTCGCCTTTCCTCTTCGCCTTCGCCTCCCGGTGCCTTCCCGGCCCCGTTCCCTGGCTCCTCCTCTCCTTCCGGCTCCCTTCGCCCCTCTTCCCCGCCCCCTTCCCCCCTGCCCCCTCTGCCCCCTTCCTTTGCTTTCCTCCTTTGGCGGTCCTTTTTTCTCCCCCCTGTTCCTCCTTCCCTCCCTTCGCTGGTCCCCTCCGCTCGTCTCCTCCGCTCCCGCTCCCCGCTCCCTGCTGCTTGTCCCCCCGGCCCTTGCGCGGTCGTTCTCCCTTCCCTTTGTTGTGTGCTTTGCCTCCTCTCTGTTGTCCCCCCCTCTCTCCCGTCGTTCCTCTGGTTGGCTTTCTTCCTTCTCTTTTTTTCCTTTTTTCCTGGTCTTCCTCCCCTCCTTGGTCCCTCCCTCTCTCGCCTTCTTTTGTCTTCTCCCTTTGCTCTTTCCTTCGCCCCCTCGTGCCCCCCCCCGCTCCTCGCTCCTGTCGTGCCTCTCCTCCCTTGCTGCCTTTGCCTGTCCCCCTTTTTCCCTTTGCGCCCCTCCCGCCCCTCTCCCTCCTGCCCCTCTTTCTTTTCCTTCCTTTCTTGCTCCTTCCTCCTTTTTTTTCCCTGCCTCCCGCCCTTGTCCGGCCCTGTCGCGCCTCTCCTCCCTTCCTCCCTTTGCCTCTCCCGCCTTTTTCTCTTGCGCCCCTCCCGCCCCTCTCCCTCCTCCCTTCTTTCTCTTCTTTCCTTTCTTGCTCCTGCCTCCTTTTTTTTTTTGCCTCCCGGCCTTGTGGCCCCCTCCTTCTCCCTTCCCGCCCTGCCTCTGTCTTCTTTTTTGTTGTCCCTCCTCCTTCTTCTTTCTCTCCTTTCCTCCGCGTCCCCTCGCGTCCTCCTTCTGCCCCCTTTGCTTGGGCTGCGGTTCGCCCCTCCGCCTTTTTTTTTTCTTGCCCTCCCTGCGTCCGTTCCCGGTGCCCTCCCGGCCCTTCTTCCCTTTTCCCGGCCTTCGTCCCGGTGTGTGGGTCTTTTCGGCCCTTTTCGTGTCCCCTTTCCCTCTGCTCCCTCTTTTCCTCCTCTGCGCCCTTCCTTTGCTTCCCCTCTGTGCCCGCCCTTTTTTGACTCCCCCTTCTCCGCGCTCCCTCATCCTGGCCTCTTCTTCGTCCTAAGTCGCCTCAGTCGCATCGTGACGCTTGTCACTCCAATCTCTTGGCTCCTCCCCTTTGTGCCCTATCTACTCTGTCCCTTGTCACTATTTCCTCTGTCCCATTCTGTACTGCCGTTTGCCCTGCCTCCCTTTTACTCACGGTGCCCTCGGCTCCCCCCCCTCCCTTTCCAGCTGGCTTTGCTCACTCACCCCTCTCCGGCGTCCTCCCTTCCCACACTCCCCCTTTCTGCTACCTTTTTGCCCCCTCTCTTCTTCTTCTTTTCACCCCCGCCGTGGTCGCCGTTGCACGAGTTCCCGTGGCAGCCGTGCTTGGTGCTGCTTGCGCTTTTCCGCAATGTCCCCACGAACTTGGGTCCTAGCGGACTCACGCACCCCCCCCCTTGTACCTTATTCTGTGGCTTCTTGGGATCCCTCCTCGGCTTCGGCTTTTTGCCGGCCCCGCTCTGGCTCTTCGTCTTTTTTTTTTTTTTTTTTTTTTTTTCCCCCCTTATTGATTTTCCCGTGTTCCCCCCCCGTTCTCCGCGCACACCCCCCTGGTCCACCTTTATTGTCAGCGCGCCCATCCCGTGGCTGCCTTCTCGCCACCCCTCTCCCCCTCGTTAATTGTCCGGGCTCTTCCTATGTTATCGGGCCGCCTGCCTGTCGCACCTGCTTTGGCTTGATTGGACGGCTGCTCCGCTTTCTTTTCCATCTCTGGCGGCCTCTCTGTCACTCCTTCACGGTCCTGATTTGTTCGCTCCTCTGTTTCCCGCCTTCCTGATTCCCTCTCATCACCATCCATCTCGGTTTACTTTTGCCTTCTTTGCCTCCTCTTCGTTGTTTGCCGTTGGTTTCACCCTCCGTCTAGTGTTTGGTTCGTTCACGCTTTTGTCCTACTCCCCTTTCCTTCAACCCGCTCCTCCCACCGCCCCTTTTTCCCTTCAGGCTTTTTTTAATCGCGACCCCGCCACTCTCCCCCCCCGCTCTCCGCTCCCCGCTCATTTCCCCCCCTTTCTCGCCCTCCGCTCCTGTTCTCCGCCATCGTTCTCCCCTCCAGTCCTACCCCCCTCCGCTACGGCATACCCCCCCTTGTCCCCCCCCGGGCGTTCACCTCCTGAAATTCCTTGGCGGTCAAATCCTCTTACCCGTTCTCCCCCTGCTTCGGGACTCCTCCCTGGCGCGTCCACCTTATCCTCTTGTCGCTCCCGCCGTCATGCCCCCCCTTCCGTGACGGTTGTCCCTACTATCTGTGGCCTCTATCATCTTACGCTTGTTTACCCTCCTTCACTCCCCCGCGCCTCTCACCCATCATCAGGCCTGCCCGGTCCACTCGCTGGCTCGGTTCTGCTGAGTTTCTCATTCGGGGTCCCGTTTGAGCCGCGTTTCCCATACCGTTCTCCCTCCCTACCTTGTTTATCCCCTGTATTTTTGGTCCATTCCGATATTCTCCTTGTCGTCCACCCGCGTCGCTTCATGCTTATCTGCGTGACCTTCTCTCTCATCTTTCCGTCTGCCCGCACGTGCCGCTCTTTCTAGTCTCTCCGGGCCCTTATCTCTCCCTCTCATTGTCCCTGTCCTCCGTGGGCTCCTTTCCTCCTTAACCCGTGCCTCCAATCGTCCCTCTCCTGCCCTCACTTACTGCTCGCAACTCTCCTCCGCTTTATGACCTTCCGCTCTCTCGTTCGTCCTCCCTTTTGTCGTCCCTCATCAACCCCCCTTTGGGCTTTCGCGTCCCCCCCCTTCGGCTCCGCGCTCCCCCGATCCCATCCCCCTGTCCCGACTTTGGCCTGTATCCACGCACACCTTCGCCCTGCCCTTTTCGGGCTGCTCTCCTTTCCTCTCTACTCTCTACTCCAGCCATCTCTCCAGGCCTTCAATCCCCGCGGCTCTTCCGCGCCCTTTCCACGGGGCTTTTTCCTCTCTTCTTGCTCGGTGTTTCTCCCTTGTTCCTCCCCGTCGACTGTTTTCTCCCATATCGTATCTATCCCCTTCCCCGTTCACCGCTGGTCCCGCATCTCCCTTCGGCGCTTCCGTCTCATCCTCCCGCTATCCCTCCCAGGATCCCCCATCCCTTTTTCTTCCTTGTTTCTTCCCTCTCTCACTGCCTACCCCACCGACTCCCCGTGCGCTGGCCTTCCCTCGCTCGTTGCCCTGGCCCCTTCATTGTGTGGCCCGTTCCCACCCTCGTCGTGACCTCTTACTGACTAGTCACGTTCTGTGTTAGCCTCCTGTCCCTTACTGGCGTTCCCCTCCTCTCACCTATACGTGTTTCCGCCCCTGACACCCTTGCGGTCCGCCTACCCTATCCCTTATGTTTCACCTCCTGTCGGCCTTCTAGTTTTCGCCTCCTGTCCTTAACCCGTTCTACCCCTCTCTCTTCCCCTTGGCACCGCCTGCCCCCCTCCCTGCCGCCACCTGCCGATCCTTTTTAGTCGTAGACTCTCCCCCGCCGTGTGGCCGCCCGCCCCTGCCATACCCTTGTTGCCCTCTATGTGTCGGGCTGTCGGTCGGCCCGTACTCCCGCCTTCCCCCACCAGCCGCCAACCGCCCTGACCCCCCTCTCCTATTACTTTCTTGGGCCCCCCCATCCCCTCCATCTTACCTGTCTTCTCTTGTATCGTCATCCCATTGAACTCATGTCTGGGGGCGCCCCTCGCGCGCGCTGGCCCGCCTGGCCAGACTGCCATGCTCCGTGTCGTCATGTCCCCACGTCGTGTCCTCGGCCGGCCTGATCACCGATCTGCTCTCAATCTTTCAATATCGCTCCAACCGTAATGCGCGGCCCCCCCCTTCCCGGTCTCTCCCTCCCCCACCGGCCTTTCTTCACCCCGCCCCACTCGCCTCCTCCCTATCTTCCCCCTTCCGCCCCCTTTTTCTCTCTCATCTCTTTCCTCTCTCCCTGCACACCACCCCGCTCCGTTTACACCTCTTCTGCCTGGCAGGTGCATTCCCCAGCCTGCTGCGCTTCCCGGCACTGCCTTCCCCTGGCCCTCCCTTCTGGCTTTCTCTGACTGCTCTGGTGATGCGGTGGCCTCTCATTCTTGACGCTTCATCTGCAGCTGCCTGCCGCCCCCTCATTGCTCCCGTCTTCGCCGCGCTTCTTTTCTGTCGAGCTCGCCATGGCTGGATGCGCGGCTCTGTTGTCCTTCTGTTCCCAGGTCGCTTCGTCGTGGTGGTGGATTGCATCGGCGCACGGTCTCCCCGGCGTCCTGTGGTTGATTTGGTTCCCGCTTATTACACATTGGCGATTGTGTCGCCCTCGCATGGTTTTGACGAGTCCCGTTTCACTACATATTGCTCCTTGCCCTCGTCCCCCCCTGCTTTGGCCCCCCCGCGCACCCGCCCCCGCCTCGCTGTTCACGCAGTTTCCCTGTCGATTGTTCTCCTCTTCGCCTCCTCTCCCTCCCCGGGCCGGTTTTCGCTCGCGGCCACCCTTTGACTGTGGTACCACGCCCTTTTTCCGCCCTTTGCCCCGCCTGCCCTGTTGGTGTCAGTCCGTTTTCCTTCATGTTTCGGGACACCGGGGGTTCGCGTCCTGTTCCGCGCGGTGCTGCCCCCGTTTGTACTTCCGTCGATCCTGTGCCCTCCTCTGGTGCGTGACTCTCCCACCGACTCCTCTCCCTTTGCCGCGTCTCGGGCTGCTCCTACCCTTTCTTCTGAGCCCCTGGGCGCCTCTTCCCCACCAGGGCCGTCCTTTGCGAGCTTTGGCCCCTTTCAGTACGTTCCTCCCCCCATCCCTTTCTACATGCTGGCTATTCATCGCCCACTGCACCTCCGGGCCTGATTCCCCTTGTTTTCCGCGCCTGCGCCCCGCTGTTCCG